ATCTCCTCCGCTAAAAGAGAATATGTCGTTTTGAAACGACATATCTCCGCGGAATTATGTTCGTTTCAAAACGACGTAATCTCTTTCAACGGCGGAGTTATTTCGTTTCTCTTTTAACGGCGGAGATATGTCGTTTCAAAACGACATATTCTCTTTTAGCGGCGAAGATATGTCGTTTCAAAACGACTTAACGGCGGAGATATGTCGTTTCAGAACGAACATAATTCCTTGGAGATATGCCATTTCAAAGCGACATATTCTCTTTTCACGGCGGAGATATGTCGCTTCCGCGGAGATATGTCGCTTCAAAGCGACATATTCTCTTTTAGCGGAGGAGATATGTCGTTAAAACGACATATTCTCTTTTAACGGCGGAGATATGTCGTTTTCGTACGAACATTATTCCGCGGAGATATGTGGTTTCAAAACGACATATTCTCTTTTAGCGGAGGAGATATGTCGTTTCCGCGGAGATATGTCGATTCAAAAATACATATTCTCTTTTAGCGGCGGAGATATGTCGTTTTAAAACGACATATTCTCTTTTAACGGCGGAGATATGTCGTTTCAGAACGAACATTATTCCGCGGAGACATGTCGTTTCAAAACGACATATTCTCTTTTCACGGCGGAGATATGTTGTTTTAAAACGACATATTCTCTTTTAACATATTCTCTTTTAGCGGAGGAGATATGTCGTTTCCGCGGAGATATGTCGTTTCAAAAATACATATTCTCTTTTAGCGGCGGAGATATGTCGTTTTAAAACGACATATTCTCTTTTAACGGCGGAGATATGTCGTTTCAGAACGAACATTATTCCGCGGAGATATGTCGTTTCGAATCGACATATTCTCTTTTGACGGCGGAGATATTTCGTTTCCGCGGAGATATGTCGTTTCAAAACGACATATCTCCGCGGAATTATGTTCGTTTCAAAACGACGTAATCTCTTTCAACGGCGGAGTTATTTCGTTTCTCTTTTAACGGCGGAGATATGTCGTTTCAAAACGACACATTCTCTTTTAACGGCGGAGATATATCGTTTCAGAACGAACATAATTCCTTGGAGATATGTCGTTTCAAAGCGACATATTCTCTTTTCACGGCGGAGATATGTCGTTCCCGCGGAGATATGTCGTTTCAAAGCGACATATTCTCTTTTCACGGCGGAGATATGTCGTTTTAAAACGACATATTCTCTTTTAACGGCGGAGATATGTCGTTTCAGTGCGAACATTATTCCGCGGAGATATGTCGTTTCAAAACGACATATTCTCTTTTAGCGGCGGAGATATTCTCTTTATTCTTTTTATTCTCTTTTAACGGCGGAGATATGTCGTTTCAGAACGAACATATTTCCGCGGAGATATGTCGTTTCAAAGCGACATATTCTCTTTTCGCGGAGGAGATATGTCGTTGCAAAGCGACATAATCTCTTTTCACGGCGGAGATATGTCGTTTTAAAACGACATATTCTCTTTTAACGGCGGAGATATGTCGTTTTAAAACGACATATTCTCTTTTAACGGCGGAGATATGTCGTTTCAGAACGAACATTATTCCGCGGAGATATGTCGTTTCAAAACGACATATTCTCTTTTAGCGGCGGAGATATGTCGTTTTAAAACGACATATTCTCTTTTAACGGTGGAGATATGTCATTTCAAAAAGACATATTCTCATTCAGCGGCGGAGATATTCTCTTTATTCTCTTTTAACGGCGGAGATATGTCGTTTCAGAACGAACATAATTCCGCGGAGATATGTCGTTTCAAAGCGACATATTCTCTTTTCACGGCGGAGATATGTCGTTTCCGCGGAGATATGTCGTTGCAAAGCGACATATTCTCTTTTCACGGCGGAGATATGTTTTTTTGAAACGACATATTCTCTTTTAACGGCGGAGATATGTCGTTTCAGAACGAACATAATTCCGCGGAGATATGTCGTTTCAAAGCGACATATTCTCTTTTCACGGCGGAGATATGTCGTTTCCGCGGAGATATGTCGTTTCAAACCGACATATTCTCTTTTAGCGGAGGAGATATGTCGTTAAAACGACATATTCTCTTTTAACGGCGGAGATATGTCGTTTCAGTACGAACATTATTCCGCGGAGATATGTCGTTTCAAAACAACATATTCTCTTTTAGCGGAGGAGATATGTCGTTTCCGCGGAGATATGTCGTTTCAAAAAGACATATTCTCTTTTAGCGGCGGAGATATGTCGTTTTAGAACGAACAGTATTCCGCGGAGATATGTCGTTTCAAAACGACATATTCTCTTTTAGCGACGGAGATATGTCGTTTTAAAACGACATATTCTCTTTTAACGGCGGAGATATGTCGTTTCAGAACGAACATAATTCCGCGGAGATATGTCGTTTCGAAACGACATATTCTCTTTTGACGGCGGAGATATTTCGTTTCCGCGGAGAAATGTCGTTTTGAAACGACATATCTCCGCGGAATTATGTTCGTTTCAAAACGACGTAATCTCTTTCAACGGCGGAGTTATTTCGTTTCTCTTTTAACGGCGGAGATATGTCGTTTCAAAACGACATATTCTCTTTTAGCGGCGAAGATATGTCGTTTCAAAAGGACATATTCTCTTTTCACGGCGGAGATATGTCGTTTCCGCGGAGATATGTCGTTTCAAAGCGACATATTCACTTTTAGCGGAGGAGATACGTCGTTAAAACGACATATTCTCTTTTAACGGCGGAGATATGTCGTTTCAGTACGAACATTATTCCGCGGAGATATGTCGTTTCAAAACGACATATTCTCTTTTAGCGGAGGAGATATGTCGTTTCCGCGGAGATATGTCGTTTCAAAAATACATATTCTCTTTTAGCGGCGGAGATATGTCGTTTTAAAACGACATATTCTCTTTTAACGGCGGAGATATGTCGTTTCAGAACGAACATTATTCCGCGGAGATATGTCGTTTCGAATCGACATATTCTCTTTTGACGGCGGAGATATTTCGTTTCAGTGCGAACATTATTCCGCGGAGATATGTCGTTTCAAAACGACATATTCTCTTTTAGCGGCGGAGATATTCTCTTTATTCTTTTTATTCTCTTTTAACGGCGGAGATATGTCGTTTCAGAACGAACATAATTCCGCGGAGATATGTCGTTTCAAAGCGACATATTCTCTTTTCGCGGCGGAGATATGTCGTTGCAAAGCGACATATTCTCTTTTCACGGCGGAGATATGTCGTTTTAAAACGACATATTCTCTTTTAACGGCGGAGATATGTCGTTTCAGAACGAACATAATTCCGCGGAGATATGTCGTTTCGAAACGACATATTCTCTTTTGACGGCAAAGATATTTCGTTTCCGCGGAGATATGTCGTTTCAAAACGACATATCTCCGCGGAATTATGTTCGTTTTAAAACGACGTAATCTCTTTCAACGGCGGAGTTATTTCGTTTCTCTTTCAACGGCGTTTCAGAACGAACATAATTCCGCGGAGATATTTCGTTTCAAAGCGACATAATATCTTTTGACGGCAGAGATATGTCGTTTCCGCGGAGATATTTCGCTTTAAAGCGACATTATCTCTTTTAATGGCGGAGATATGTCGTTTCAGAACGGACATAATTCCGCGGATATATGATCATGGCGAGATTATGCCGTTTTGAAGCGAAATAACTCCGCCGCCTTAAAAATGAAAATCAGACGAGAGCTGTTTTCTATCTAGCGCAGATCAACGGCGAAGCTATGCCGACACTGCCCAAAAAATTCCTCACAAAAAAAAACATCAGAATTGATTTATTTTTCAATATATTTATTTTGTTTCGTAACATCGTATGTTCATTGCTTAATTATTATGTACATAGTTATTTAAAAAATATATGTTTTGGAGCATTTGAATATTTCTTCTGTCCTCCCTTTTGTCACGTTTTGACTGTATTTACCTGAAATAAATAAAATTTAATATATTAAAAAAGTCGTCGTTCAAAAAGTAGACAAAACGCGATGAAATCAGACAATATTTACCCGAGATATTAAAAAAAAATCATCAAAAAAGATTCGATTTCCGAACCGACCCCGATTTTGAAAAAAAAACGTGATGTTACCCTTTGCCATTTTGACGATTTGGGTCAAAATTTAGATTTTCACCTTTTAAACCTTAACAACTTAATTTTCGACCGATCGTTCCTATGGCAGCTATACGATACAGTGGTCCGATCCAGTTGGTTTTGACATATGTGCTGCTTGCAACAGTAAGAGATACTTCTGCAAAGTTTCATAAAGATAGCTTTAAGACTGAAGGATCAGTTCGTATAGAAACAGACAGACGGACATGGCTATAACGACTCGGCTGTTGATGCTGATCAAGAATATATATATTTTATGGGGTCGGAGATGTCTCATATGCCTATGCCGTACACATTTCACGACAAAATTATAATACCCTCTGCAAGGCTATAAAAAGGTGAATAGTAAATAATTTTAAATAAAGTTAGTATAAATGGTAAATACGTAAAACAATAAAACTTTGCTTATAATTCAGGAAAATTTCAGGCACCTCCAATAAAATATTTATGCGCTTCTTTAGGACCATTTATTTATATCTTTTATTAAGTATCAATATCACGTTGATGATCTTTTGTTGTTGTTGTTGTTGTATTGGGCTTTCGGTTAGCAATAAATGTGGTTTTACGTAAGTCGTTATACATATATATATTTATAGTTCTAGGCGCAATAAATCAACTAAGCGGCGTATTAATATGGGTTTGTTTTATGGGGATATTGTATTTTGTCGCGTATGTATTTGTATTTTGTCGTATTGACCAGAGGACGTTAAGATCTAAATGATTTTTATAAAAATCCAGCAAATTAACAAGAAGTCTTGTGGACGTCAAACATATCTTTATATATATATATATAACTGTATGTGTATGCTTAAAATCTTAAAACTAAGTTTATAAAGTTAATGGCAATGATTTAATTGATTTCTTTTATTGCCCATTTTACAGCGAACATTTCATTTCGGAACACACAGTCATGGCCGTTTTCACATCGCAGGGTCAGGTGGGCGGACCCTGCCGTTATATGCCTGCCACACGGCGGCAGAATCATCAGTGCCGCAAGGAGACCGGTCTGCCTGGTGCGCTGAGCGAGGCACGACGCTTGGCCACCACCCACTGCGAGGATCAGTTCCGTTACGATCGCTGGAACTGTTCCGTCGAGACGCGCGGCAAGCGTAACATATTCAAGAAGCTCTACAAGGAGACGGCATTTGTGCACGCCCTAACGGCAGCCGCTATGACCCATTCGATAGCCCGAGCGTGCGCCGAGGGCCAGATGACCAAGTGCACCTGCGGGCCGCGCAAACAGAATCGTCCGGATCAGGACTTTCAATGGGGCGGCTGCAACGATAATCTAAAGCATGGCAAGCGGCTGACGCGCAACTTTCTCGAATTGCACACCAGCGATGGGGACGAGGTTACCGAAATATTGCGACATGACTCTGAAGTAGGTGTCGATAAACATACCAAGCATATACCAAGTGGTTAACTTGCCTATTTCTCTCTCTAAAACAGGTTGGCATCGAGGCCGTCTCCACGCTGATGAAGGACAAGTGCAAGTGCCACGGCGTCTCCGGCTCCTGCTCGACGAAGACCTGCTGGAAGAAGATGGCTGATTTCAATTCTACGGCCACGCTGTTGCGCCAGAAGTATAACCAGGCCATACGCAAGCCCACCAACCAGCGCAACACGCGCCAGACCACGGCGAGTCGCTTGAAAAAACCAAAACAGCGACGTAAGAAAGTAAGTACCATGCCCCAGTGCTCGACTCTAAGCAAGATATTCAAACTTAACGAATCGTTAAGCAACACTGGCGCATTGTTGTGCAACTAGGTCGAACAAATCATATCGTTACGCAACACTTAAGCCTCACATAACTAATTCAAACATGTAGGTTCTAAGCGGTTTTAGATCAATTCTGTGGATAGCTATTAGAACTATAAATATCCCCGATAAAATCTAAGACTAAATCATCAACTAATTTTTTGAGGAAAGAGCTACACATTGTCATTCCTTACCCATATTGGTATATTCGTATATTGAAAATTAGTGTTATAAGAGAACAAAAAACGGTAATAATGGAATATAGTGTTGTAAAAGTCTAGAAAATTATAAATATTTAAAATATGATCAGTATTTATATGATCAAATATCTTTCATTTATTTGTAGTATACAAAATTAAATGTCTTAAAATGTGTTTTGAATGGACATAGAACGAATTACCACGACAAAGAATCAGTCCAGTATAATAACTCTAATTTAGAAATAATATTATTTAATATTATTTTTCACTTTTCTCATCTAAGAATCTCTCTCTCTCCCTTGTAGCAACAACAATACACAACGCTCTATTATTTGGAGACCTCGCCCAACTACTGCTCGGTCACCAAGAATCGCCAGTGTCTGCATCCCGACAACTGTGCGAATTTGTGCTGTGGGCGTGGCTATGTCACGAGCGTCCTCAAGAAGATGGAGAACTGTCGCTGCCGATTCAGCAATGGACGTTGTTGTGATCTGATCTGTGACTTTTGTCAGCGCTATGAGAATAAATATTATTGTAAATAAGTAGGCTGGGCCCCGCCAACTTCCTTCCCAGCACTATATCTCTAAATCTCTGTCCCTCCCTCTCTCGTACTATCTATCTCTCTCCATCACACACATATGGCATACACATAGAATGCTCTCTTTCTACTTTTTAAATGTAATTTGTAAAGTTTTTTTCGATTATGGCTTGTATTTTTTCCATTCCTAACTTAAAGAAAATACTTTGAACAAAATGATAAGCAACGCGAAAATGATATGAAAAACCAATATAAACAACACTCGGAAAAGATCACACACTCACACAGACACACGCACACACACACACACACACACATACATGCTCACACATACAAGCATAGACCTACATCTATATTATAGATATTAACGTATATAGTAACAGTTAGCTGCCGTCGCATTCAGAACAAAAAAATCTCAAAAAAAATGGCAAAAACAGCATTTAGCAAACAAAAAATCAAATAAAAAAACTCTCACACACCATCACGCATATGAACAACAACAACAACAACAACAACAAGCAGAAGCTAACAAGAACACACCGCAACAAAAATAATTTTAATAAGTATTTAAACATAAAAACAAACCAAAAACATGCAAAAAAAAAAACAAAACAAAAAAAAAACAAATACATGAAAATGAAATGAAATAAAAAGTTTCACATAAGCCGCAAAAGTCTGTGATTTGGGTTTAGGGGCACTTGAAGCTTTGATTAGCTTTAATTACACTTTCCGCATTTCGCCAGCCTCCCATCCAACCACGGATTACACGGCCCCGAGACCGTGTCTCGGCGGGAATCACCAGGAATTAACCGGGCCAAACTGGCAAGCCGGCGAGTGCACCAATGGACTGACAAATATTTGTATTTTGTCAACTTAATTTCACACAATCCCATGTCACATCTCGAATTGCCGAGTCACGACTCACACGCGACATTATTTAGCAAACACACACACAGACACACACTTTCCTAGCAACAGCTAGAGTCGATCCCAAGACTAGGCAGTGGGGCTTTTGGAGACGTCGTCCCCGAACAATATTCTAAACAAACTCAAAGCTTGACTTCCGATCAAACTCGAGTTTTTATATCAAGGAAATGGTTGCTCATATAAGCATATAAAATATAAGGTTATATGTGTTGGGTTCCCAGCTTTAAATCCTCTAAATACCCTCTTTATAATTAATAAATTTAAATATTTCTTTAGATGCCCTTAAGATTTTATCTTAATCAACATTTGTCAACAGACAATTTTTATGTAGATGAGCTCCAGGTGTACTATACGCAGAATTGTTTATTAATTTAACAAGATGTGTCTCATTTAGACTTCGCTCTTATAACGACTCATATTCTGTCTCCCTCTGCCTCTCTCGCTATCTCTCTCTAATTTTCACTCTCTCTCTCTCTTCCCTTCTCAAATTCCAAATTGATGTAGAGGCTACACGATGGACAAAGAGCCGAGCTTCGTGTTAATCGGATGAGATTCGACCGAATTATGGGGGTGGGAAATATCGGGCTATGTGTACTTAGTATATTTGAAAATCAGACATATTCACACATACGAACCACACATTCATACAAACACATTTATACATACATATATGCATGCATACATACATGCGTACATACATGCATAAATACATACATACATACATACATACATACATACATACATACATACCTACATATCTACATACCTAATACCTACATAGGAGGAGGAGGGCAGCTCTAATAAATACATTTCCTTATTTAAATTTGCTGCGCAACAGGACAAATCTGTCTGTCTGGTATGCTATTGGTATTTGATAAGACAATATATGCACATACATACATGCACATAGACACAAACATGCTCACATATTTACACATACTTACAAACAAACATTAACACACATTCATAAATTCATTCAATCATTCATTCATTTATACATTCGTGCATAGACAATATTATTCTTGTTAAATATATATTTATTATTTTCTTTCTACACCAACAATTGAAAGGTTTTTTACCCAAGTCACCTTCAAGTGAACGCTTCCCTGTCGATCTATATTTATATGCCACATGTACGATATCGGAAACATAGTATAGCCAGGAGTCCACAATGGATATGGCTATAAAAATGTATCGCATGCTTTTATGTAAATTTGAGTGCTTCGTTTGTTATCCTTGTCGAGAGGCGTCTTTGTGCCATGCATTGGTTGGTTAAGTTCTTAGTCAGGACTTTGTCGCAGCACCGCCCCTTGCCGCCTTGACACCGATATGGATACGCTTTGTCAACAGTGTTGAGCGTGTTGCGTGCTTAACTGTTGCCTGGATGAAAACATTTCTTAAAGTGCGAGTACAACAAATTCTGGAACCATGTGCGACAACAACAAATCCATCAACGTGACACGGTTCTTCTTTCGTTCGCTCTGGAACACCCTATTTGTTGTCGGCCTATTGTTGGGTTTATTTAATATTTAATTAAAAACAGGAAAGAGTAGCTAAAAAATATACTTTTTCCATAGCCAGTTTTATACAATTATATAATAATAATTTATACAAACTTGGCTGTTAATACTAGTTAGGAATTTTTATATTTTTGCTTTCGCAGCGCTTGACGCACTTTCTCACAAAACTAGAATACCCTTTGTTAGATCATAATCACATTTGTCATGTTAACTTGATGGGATTGAGAAAATCAAATGCATAAAAGAAAATCAAATTGTTGCCACAATTTTGTTGGAAGTATGAATAAATTTCAAGCCCGCGGTGTAAAATGCTAAGAAATATGAAACTCTTGAAAGGGTTGAAAAACATGTAGAACATTTGAAGTTGGGCTCATATAGAATCTATAAAATCTTTGAACCTTCTATTATGTAGCTAAATGTTTGTATGTTATGTTTGCACTTAAAATATTGTGTGAACATCTTCAATTCACGTGAGAAGCGCATTTGTCTAACACGTTTTTTCCAGTGACAACTTGACAGCTTGGCATGTGGCAACAGCAGCAGCTACATGAAGTCCCCAATGGGCCGAGGGGGGGCAACATTTAGCAACAACAACAATAATGTAAGGAATGTACAGAAAATCTTGGAAGAAAAAATCTTAAAGCCCTTATTTAGCTTAGATTCTTTACTTTTCAACGAAATAATTTGCATGTTAAGCTGTTATGACGAAATTTGGCATATCGATAATTTATCCCAGTTAACTTAATCCTCACAGAAGTTTTAAGCACATACAATTTTAGATTAGCCCAATAAATATTCGTGGTCTTATTCGGATTTTTTAATTCCTCAAGATATAGGCATTTCGTCGAGCATGCAGAGATGTCATGCTTTCATATCATCCGGTCTATCATAATTCTTTTTTATTATATAAAAGTAATTCATCGACTTAACTCTTTGGTTCTATCTTTATGGCCTTGCAAAAATTAAAATCTTTACAAAAGGCTTTTAATGCACAGATTGATTCCATAAAGTATATTATTCTTATCAGCATGACAAGTCGACTTTCTATCGGGTTGATTGTTGATTAAAATGTTTGGCTTGTGAAACGAATTATGATTTCCAAAGTCTTATACATAGAAGTGTTTTAAACAACCAATATAAATTATTAATTTCATAATTCTATTTCCAAATATCATTTTACATATGAACCAAACATTAAACTCTACTAGTTGTCTGGAACGGAAAGATTTGGGGTAGGACCTCGCAGATTTATAAGAGTTCGTTCACTAAAGAGATTGTCTAGGAGTCCAGGCTATTAAACTATGTACTCCTCATCGTTGATAAGATTTTCTAGCATTTATTATTTTCTTTTTTTATTTTCTTCAGCAGAATAAACAAAATGAAAGCTGCGCAACCTGAGATACGCACCCTAAATTAAAATTAAAGTGAAGCATTTATTTTATTTGCTTGCTGCTCAAATGACAATAGCCGAAAGTAAATCGCCCGTCTCAGCTCTAATCTTCATTTCGCACCAAAACAGCACGAACCGCAACGAAAATTAAAACCAATCATTAGCTATTCCAATTCCGAGCTCCATTAAGAACAATTAGAATTAGCAATGATCTAAAACCATCTCGAACGCTTTGAAATTGAGCGGATGTTGCACGAGAATGCGAGAAATTGGCAACAACAAAAAACGTGTAGTCAGCAATTGTTGTTGTTGCTGCTGTTGTTGTTGCTGCTGTTGTTGTTGTTGTTGTTCTATGCGAAACCGCAAACAGTCTGACGGTATTATTTACTTAGTCAGTCAACAGAGCACCCACCACGAAAAAACACTTGTGTGCACATAGATTAAAAAAGCGAAACTCAGACACAACAGTGAGTACCCCTCGCCCCTTCACCTCACCAGTCCTACTGTACCACCCACTGCACCAACCGCCCGCCCTGCACATGCGAACGAATGGCTAAAAAGTGATTAACACAAAGCTGAGACAAGGCGACTGACATGTAACATTAATGCTAACAAGAACAAGTTAAGAATTAGTCTTGGCAACATTGCGCGACTAGGATATACCCTGTACAACGTGCCGAGCTGCCTGCACAAAAAGCCCCAAACTATGGGAAATTCATTTTTGAATAGCTCCAATGATTACAGATCACTTTTTATGAAACATGCACTGCAAAAATATGGCAAAGCCCCAGACTAAATCCAAAAATAGTTTGGAATGTGGGTGAGGTATCCGAAAAATGATTTCCTAATCTGCACAGCAAATTGACAGCAATCTATAATGGAATTTAATCGATTTCCCGGACAGTTTGATATATGTAACACTTGAGATTAGACAGATAAACGGAAGAACGGGCAAATAGACAGACAAAAAGTCAGAGAGACAGACAGATAGACATACAGATTGACAGATAGACAGACAAACAGACAGACAGACAACCGAGGTTTAATCAACTGAGTTCTGAGCAAGAAACTTTTTTCTTTATGTAGTTCAAGAAAGTTGCTTGTGCCTGTGTCACACCTTATACCCATCTTTGATGGTTATAGGGTATTTAAATAAAAAATAAAACGAGACATAAATCGACTGAAAAATAAAACAACAGCGAAAAGCACATGGAAAAGTAAACAAACCGAAAAAAAAAGAAAAATGCAAAACATATAAAAAAATTAAGAAAGAAGAAAAATTGGCAAACTGTGCGGTCACGTAGCGAACGAAAGCAAAGATTGAAACAGACGGACGGGTCGATCGGAGACGTTCTAATGAGAAAGCTGACCAGAAACTATGATTTTTGGGCAGCCCAAAAGCCGCCCAATTGAAGCTAGCTGGGGCTGGGGTTGGGACAGAGGGGGAGGTGCAGCTCAATTGCCCGAAAGTGAGAGCACAGCGTTCGAGCTGCATTCGAGCTGAATTCGGTATCTGACAGATACGTGTGCCGCCGAGCATTTGAGACGCCGCCATCGCCGCCGCCACACAAAACAAAAGCCAAACGCTGACCGAGCTGCGGCAACATTTCCATGGAAACTGCCAAACCGCCAACAAGTTTATCGATGCTGCTGCTGTTGCTGCTGCTGTGGGTGACCATCGGGTAAGTTGACACTAGCCAAACTTCAAACCAAGACCAAATCGAAAACTCCGACCTTAGCTCGGCGCTGCCCAAACGCGAGCTGCAAATGCTCGAGATGATGCAGAACATTTTAGGCGTGGACAGCGCCGATTTGAGTGGACGCAGCCAGCGCTCGGGTCCCATGCTGTTCGCCGCCTCGGTGCCCTGCGAGGACAGCCTGCCGGAGGACAGTAGCGCTCAGCTGAGCCTGTTCGACGATGACTTCGACGAGAGCGAGGAGTGCGGCGACTATGGACGACCCTGCCACGGTGCCGCACAGCTGCCGTCGGGCCTGGAGCCCTGCGCCCGACCCATGCTGCCCATGCAGCATCCTTGCTTTGTGCGAGTCGTATTGCTGCGCACGCCTCTGCTGCGGCACGATCCCTGCACTAACTTCACCCTGGGCATGGCACAGCCAACGACAACCAGCGGCACGCCCACCAGCCCCTCTACTAAGAAGCCCAGGGGCAAAAAGTGCAGATCCAAGATGCGCAAATCGACGCCCAGACCCGCAACAGCAGACAGGAACAGTAACAGCACCAGCATCAGCTCCAGCACAAGCCCAGCTACAAGCACCACGGAGCTGGAGACAACAACAACAACAAGTACAAAGCCAACAACAACCAGCAGGCCAGCTGAAACCAGCACCACAGAGCGCACCACGAGTACGTCAACCACAGTCAGGAGCACAACAACAACAACAACGCCGAGCACCACAACAACCGAATTGCTGCCCACCATAATGGAGCTTGACGAAATGTCAACTACAATCACTGCGCCGAGCAGCTCCACCGTCGTCTACACCAGACGCAACCAGCTGAAGTCCCTGCGTGGCAGGCGCCGCAAGCAACAGCGCGGCAAGTTGGCAGGTGTGCCGGATAAGCCCACGATCAAATTGGATGGCAGCATGCAGCCCAGTGATACGTTTCCGGTATTTTTGACCACGGAGGCCGCCGAGCTGAGATCACGTCCCAAGTCCACCACATTGCGGCCGGAAGCGATGGCCACAACATCGACAGAAAGTGAAGCAACAACCGAGTGCATCGAAGCATCTGACGATGAGGAAACCACAATGGAAAACGCTGACAGCAGAGCAAATGAAGAAGAACAAGACAAAGAAACTGAAGGTGGGTGGCGCCATTAAGGTCAAAAAAAATATTCTTGCCTTGTAGATTTTAGAGAAAGTCGCAAGAACTTTCGAGTTTACTTTACATGCACAACAATTTTTTGTTGATTTGTTTCTAGAAAAATATGCATCAGAGCTGAATTCGGGTTGGGTTTTTGGGGTATTTTGAAAAATCATTTGAAATAGTTATAATAATAAAAGTTAAAATTTGCAGCTTTAACTAATTTATAAAAAAATTTAAATATTTTCCCACCAACAATATAGCCAGTGAAGACTGTGAGGATGCCGAAGATCAGGATACGAATCTATGCCCACAATTTTCAGCGCCTGAGGAGGCAGGTAAGTGAGAATTACTTTAACTAAACGATTTGATAAACACAAACAAATCAATTTGCCTTTATTTGATTGACAGCCAACATGCGACTTATGCCGTCGGGAAGCCGCTTTCGCAAGCCTGTCAAGAACTATGTGGAGCCCATTTTGTATGAGGGCCAGTTCGCCAAGCCACGACAACGGATCGGCATGTTGCCACCGCAGCGGCGAGATTTTTATGTGAGCAACAAGCAGATTATGCCCAGACCGAGGCCAAAGCTTCGGCAGCCGCTGCCGCATTCGATCTACATGAACAACATTGTGCGTGGTCTCAAGTGCAGCGATGAAGCTGGTGCACACCCCCATCCGCCGCAGCCAGGTCGCTTCTTGTCCCGGAAACCAGCGACAACGCCGCAGCGTATCTGGCTGAACCGACGCAATGGGGCAGGCTACGCGCCGTTGCGCTCGCAGCCTTCAGCACAAGGTCCGCAACGCGGACGCGACAATCCGCTGTATGGACTCAGCTCTGGCGAGGATCCGGACTCGTATGGCCACGACAGTGATCAGTACTATGATGATGATACACCCGATCGTCTGGCCTGGCCACGCGATCATCCACTGCATGGATCGTCACCCACTGCGGATCCTTGCCAGGCGGAGCTTAACCGCGAAAGACAAAGGCAGCGCGAGCGGGAGCGGGAGCGGGAACGGGAGCGAGAGCGGGAGAGTGACAGGGACAGAGACGAGCATCTACTGGACTATCCGCAGCGTTCAGCGCCACGTTTCTTTACCTAGCCACATAATAATAAACTAAGCAAAAAGCATAACCCAGCACCCAGTAGCATAATAAACAACTGCACCACAAATAATTTGATAGCTACCAAAAACTCTGCTCCCACAAGTAAAAACCTGTGATTAGGCAACTTCAAAGCTGTGATGAGTCCAAATCTAACAGCAGCTGCCCCTAGGCCCGCCTGTCTAGGCCAGCAACTGACTCCGACAAGCTCAATGGGGGGCGCCTGTCCACTTGTCAGTCAATGAGCCGCAGACACGCGCCCGTAATGAGCGAATGGCACCGTTGGGCGGTCGGTCACCTGATGATTGAGATATCCGAAGCGCCGCAGACAGCTGTGCGGATTGTTCAGACGAGTCGACAAAGTTCCGAGGCCTAATAATATGGCCAAGGCTATGATTGATGAGCACATGGCAACCACCTATTACGACGAGAAAACCAAGCTCAAGTACTTTCGCACTCACACTTCACATGCAATCAGAAACCTTTTTTGAAAACTTACCAAAACATAAGCATTAAGCAAAATATGTATTTGTAAGTTACTTTGCCAGGCAGTTGAATTACTTTAGCGTTCTACATCCTCCTTCTAACCACTGTTAAATGTCGAACAGCAGAAAACCAATTTCGATTGTAAGCCTTTAAATCTCACTTATTCATGAGCACAAATTAATGTTGTGCTTACATCCTCCTTGCAACTAAATGTTAAATATCTTACAGCAGAATACCAATAATGTTTATGAACTTTAATGAGTTTATCAATATTGATTGTAAGGATTACTTGTAAGTGTCGGAAAAGCTCTATTGTGCTGGACATTTAAATTATTATTGGTGTCTACAACTGCCTTTCAACTAAATGTTAAATATCTAACAGCAGAAAATTAATTTAACTTATGAGCTTTCAAAAGCTCACGAATACATGACTATTTAGCAACATATGTAAAATATGTATATTCTTAAGACTTGGATAAATTAATCTAACTTTTTTTTGAGAATAAATTAATTGTTAAATTTTGAATCTATTTGCCTATGTTCCTGATAAGGCTCATGTTATTTGCTTGGCAGTTTCTGTCCGGCACTTCTTAAGGCCCACACTATTTAAGACGTCTCCCATGCTTTACACACTTCATCAGAAAATTATAGTACCCTCTATAAGGGCACAACAATAAGTTGATTCACACAAAGGAACTCTTGATGACCAATTATTATCAAGTTTTTATCAGCTTTCGTCATGTGTAAGAATTGTCAAGAAAATGTTGATTTCAATTACTGTAAACTTTTTTTTTCATTTTATTTGACTTTCATGTCATTGGATTGTACATGCTCATAATGCTTATCGTCAACTGACCTTGACTCTGTCGCATACCCTGTACTTTATGGCATAACACAACCCAGACCGTGCGAAATTGAGCAACAAAACATTCATATTTATCACATCACTAAAAAAATCAGAAGAGCGAGCTCCAAAGGAGTTGCCCCAAAGCAAGAACAAAATGAAAACAAATTATAGTCGGCAAGCCAGCCCCCTTGCCGCTTTCCCCATACACCCTACCACCCACAACACACACTCGCGGTCACACTCGAATTACAGTTCTCACAGACATAAATTGTTGTGCACGCTCTCGCCCGCTCTCTTGTCTCGCTCTCTGTGACATTGTAAATGTCACAGGATGCCGCGTGGGTGATGCGGCGGCGCAAGAACAAAACACAGAGAGAGCAATGGAAAAAGAGAGAGATCAAGAGAGCGCGCGTCTTTATGAGAGAGCATTCTAGCAAGCCGAGACTAGGTCTATGGGCCAATATGTGTACTGATTTTTAGGTTCTCCTGGCTCGTGGCACAGTGCGGACGTGTTTTTCAGCTCGGACGGAAACCTGCACGAAAACTGTTGGTCAAGAGAATTGCAAGAAAACCGTTCTGCAGCAACAACAAAAAAAAAAACCATATAACTTAATCAATTAAAGCAAACGATACAAAAAAAACCCAAATGCAACGCAGCCAATTAAATAAAAATCTGTTTATCGTGAATTAACTTGTGTGTCAGAGTTGGAGTGAGTGTGTGTGTGTACCTAGTCTTAAAAATCCCCTGCCCTTAATAAAGTGCATTTAAAACGAATCTAGTAGCAAAAACAGAGTAACTATTAGCCTAATATATAGCCAAACATAAATGTCTATTGCCAAGCCTGTATTTAATCGAACTCTTAAAGCAAAGCAGAAGGTGCGGAAACAGCAGCAAAACCAAAGCCAAAATCGATAAAAAAAAAAAAAAAATTCGAAAATAAAATCCCAACATCTCCTCCAATGGTCCAACACCTGTGCCAACAACAACAACAATAATCAAATACCATAGCTGCAATTGGTCAATGAGTTATTAAACGTAATTGAAAAAGCAAACACTGCCAGAGAACGAGCAAAACATTCAACTCGGTTCCAATCAAGTTAAACCACCGTTTCAAATCTGAAGCTAAATACTCTATGAGCAGCATTTAAAGGGCCTACAAGCAGTCACTAACTGGGTCAATAGGCAGCAGCAGCAGCAGCAGCTACTGTTGCCAACTTTTTCGCCCTCAAAACCCTAGCCAGGGCTTCCTGGCAAATACGGTAAGTTACTTTCAGCCAAAGAGCCAAGTGTTGAGCAAACTTTTTACTGCAAGTTGACAGTATTTTTGTATCTACCCTATATTAAAAGCAATTAAAATGGGGTATAATAAGGTACATACTACAGCATATCATCCTATATGCCTATCGCTCTGTGTGAACGCACTCTACAGTTTCAAGAAACTGATACTTGCAGATATGGAAGATACAGAATCTGGCAACACAAATTTATGGGTTAACTATAATACATTCATATTATAAATAATACTATAAATAATTAAAATAAAAGACCGCTAGCGTCTAGGTCTTTGGCTATATTCATATTATTTATGAAAGAAATAATAATGGTAATATTGAAAAAAATATTTATGAAATAATTTATGGATTACAACATTTACAATACAATGCAACATCCTACAATACATACAATACAATAAAAAAAATGTTGCAAATACGTATGTTTTCGATTCATATACACTTCAATAAAATAAATGTGTACAGGGTAACTGTTAGTCAACCCAACTGCTTTCAAGTATTTAATCTTATTGCTTCCGATTGTGTTATTTCTTACCGTACTCTCGGTTAATGGCGGCGCCTAGCACAGAACTTTACTAACTTACATTCTGATTAACTTTTGTTTTAAAAAAAATAGGAGCAACACAAAAACAAACATATAGAGTTATTTATACCAAATGTTTAAGCCGTATTTGTACCTATGTAACGTGAAACGGTCGGAGAAGTAAGCAGAGCTTTTCACTCGCAGGAAAATTCGTGCCTTGCTCTGAAGAAGCCACCCGATATTTTGCTGTGTGGCTTTTAGAGGAATCAGCTGCTGCTGCCACAATGTCTAGCAGATTTTTGTTGTTAGGGCCGAGTTTGTATGCCCTATACGTATGTACCAGGCAAGAGGGGTATATTAGGCGTAAGAGGTCTTATAGACCTAAAGTCTCTTATTTCTAGCTGGCATATCAATTTCTAAACTACCTTTACTGTTTAATACAGCAATTACAAACGATTTAATTATATTTATCTTTTTCTCTTGTTATCGTCTTATTAAAAAATATAACAAATAATAAGGTAACTAATCAGTCAGTCAGCACAAACCGTTTCATATAAAGAGGCTTTCTACAGGGTATATTAGTCTTTGAACTTATCTTAAGTAAGTAGTTCATGCATGGGTCGTGTCGCCTGGTGAAGCGGGTCAGGGGGTCAGCTTTTGTTTTTCTACCCTCAAATGTTTTTGTGTGCGCTTCAGTTCTCGGCGCCTCTGCCAATCGAAGATAGTGAAGTCTAATTTTAAGATATGCGAGTGCTATTTTTGCCAGTCAAGTTCCTTGCCAAGTTTTGAGAGCCTCAGGCGAGCTTGATAATTTGCCAACCATGATTGGATTCGGGCAAAGTATATAAACGAATCGAATTATAAAAGGAATCAATAAAGTATCTTTGAGAAAAGTTTGCAGATGCTAGACACGAAATTTCAAATTGCAAAGGTTATGTGTAATCAAATGAAAGTTTGTGTGGGTTTTCACCAATTTGAAGCTACAAGCTACAATAATACAATGTCCCTAGGGATTAATTGTCCTCAAACTGTTCTGGAAGCTAAACGATTAACACTTAACAAAGAAACTTGTTCGATATATATTTGCAAAGAAAAATGCTCAGAAATAATGCAAGTTGTCTTTATAGATTACGTTTACTCCTTGGTAAGGCGACAATGTTTGTCGAAATATTGTCAATAATAATACAAATCAAATAATGTAGCATTAGCTTTGACTTGCCAAAGTCCTAAAAATAAGTTTGATCATAGATACAGAAGACATTATAAAATAAAACAAGTAAGAGGTTCTAGTCGGGAGCTCCCGACTAGGAGATACCCTGAACCCTCTTCTTGGAACATCAAATGCATATATATATATTGCCCAAAAAACAGGATATAGATATTGATTTTTACCGATTGCTTGGAAACGGAGTAAGTTATCGATTATTGGAAACAAACTCGATCTGCGCAGGCACTAGGAGCACCTACATCTAAAATTTCAAGTCTCTAGCTCTTATAGGTTTTGAGATCCTGCGCTCATACATACGGACAGACAGACAGACGGACATGGCTAGATCGACTCGGCTATTGGTGCTGATCAAGAATATATATACTTTATGGGGTCGGAGATGCTTCCTTCTACCTGTTACATACATTTAGATTTTGCACAAATAAAAGATACCCTTATACCCATTTTTAATAGGTTCAAGTAATAAAAATGGCTAAAAACAAACTAATATTGTTTTAATTATTTTGGCTATTTTGGCTATGAGAAATTTTTCCATAGGTATTTTTCCGGCACTTTTTATCTTAGCTGGCTTTTTACTACGTTCCTATCAACTAACATTATTTCTGTTTTAACTATTTATACAGAAAAAGAGGAATTAAGATTGTCGCACCCAGAATGTCAAAAACACATGTTAAATATATATTTTAGTTTACTCAGTTTTGCTGCAGCTTATCGGAAAGCAGAATACGCAATTGTTTTACTGGGAAATCGAACATGAAACCACGGTGAACAAATAGGATCGCCCCCTCTTTTCACGTCTTCCCACGCAAGTTAAACAAGTTAAGCTTTAATCGGCGCCATAAAGCAAATATAACTTGCTGGACAAAGTTCAGTAGCTCTTAACTTTTCTCGATATATATATATGTGGGTTGGCGATAAGTGGACATGCGTGTGCCACAATTTATATGGCACACATGCCACATGAACCGACCCAAAGCTGCCGCACATGCAGCAAAGCCTCGGGGACAAGAACATTAGGAAGAGGCATACGACAAATGTTGACTCCAATCGATGGTTATTTTTACGCGGCCCGAAAGCTGAGCACCCGCTGCCTATGCTCCCATGTCGACTCCTGCTGTGTCCCATTACGTATTCATTGGCGTAATTGGTATTTGGTGTTACTTATGCAAAGAATTTGAATGCCTGACAGCAGGTACAGCTTTACCTTTGGCACTCGGATCTGCAAAATATGCAGGTCACCAAGCTAGAAAGTCCTTCCATAATTAGCGCATGTGGCAGGTCTACTTGGTATGTGTGCGTGTGTGTGTGTAATCGTGTATGTAATTACCCTCCTCGCCAGGCATGTCAAGTGACAGCTTGTATATGACTACAGTTACTTATTGTCGACTAACCTGATAACACCTCTGTGCATAAGTTTTGCCTTATTAACTTTTCGACTTTATTTTACGCCGTGGGGCTTGTCTTTCCATGTGCCTGTTAAAGTACATGTAAGTTGAGAATACGTTAAATTTGACAGAAAGTCAAATATTTTGTCATTGAAGTGTTTAAATTTACATTAGAGGGCCACGCCAGGCTAACATTTGACCGGATCTTAAACAAAACTGTAAAACTTGACAACAACTTTAAGAATCTAGTGTAACATATGCGAAGTAGCTCTGTTAATGATGACAGTTCCTGACAAGGCTGCAAATTTTAGACATTATCAAATTATTCGGCAACGCATTCAGATATTCGCTATGGCAGCTGCTGTCAAGGCTACTTATGTATGCACTGTTAAAATATCTGGCAGCTCTTTCAGATATACATAGTTTGCATTTTATATGAAGAGCTTTCAAGAGTAGCCAGTGTGACTCTCAACTGTGACAGGAACATAAAAAACTGATTTGCTCAACTATATTATGTTTATTTATGTTAGCTGAAAAGCTATTCTGTCAATTATGTGCGCTTACTACAGTGCACTACTTAACAGTGTTGAAAAACACGCACATCAGTCTGACAACACTTTAAGGCATAAATTTGATCTAAAATTAGAAATGTGCCTCGTTGCTTTGCAAGCAAACGCCTTTGTTTCAAGCTGACCCAAGAGATACATAGGGGCTAATAAAAGTTTAATTTTATTTTTATAACCCTTTACCTTTTGACACAAATCCTTTTCTATACTTAGAGCCGGCGCGTGCCGCATGAGTGCTTGCTGCAAAATGCGTCTGTGCCACAATTGGTTAAATTCACACAGCGTTTGTTCGAGTTATGTAGATGATTGTAACTTGACTGGTTGCTGTAGCTTTTGTTGTCAACTCTCGACAGTTACGCAACACATAAAACGCGACCTTACGGGAATAACTAACTAGCCTCCGATGCCCTCCAGCTTTATTTAGCCAATATATACTGCGGAATAGTTAAGGGAAAATCAATAGCAACAACGTTTTCCTTTCATTTGCTGATTTTTGCACACGCTGCGAAATTGAAAATTTCATTTACACTTGACACTGGCACAAATCAGCCTACATTCACGACTTACGCCCCCGATGGTACCCCTTCACCCGGCCGCCCTTCCGCTCAATCGCTTTGCCATTCGCACGCTTTACGGGGCCAGCTCACATGGTTGGTTACAAAATGCTTGGCTACCATTTTCATATCCGCCATGTGTCTGTTAAGAGGAAAATCGAATGAAAACCAAACGAAAAACGTCAAGTTAAATAACAAAATTGAATGCAATGCATAGGGCTGAATGATCTGTAGATTGGGAAAATATCTGATGAGAAAAAAATACGCATATGTAAAGCAAATATGAATGGTCCTCGCGATAGCTGAGCAAATGGCATTTCCAAATACCAAACCTGATTCAAAATTCATAAATTCGATTTAAGAATGGGCAAGGCTGCCTTTATGGATCAGTGAATACATTTAAAATATAATATGATTTTGTTTGCATTGGCATATCAGATTATTTTGTTTGCTTTCGAGTTAAATGTTAAGCACACATTTCTCTGTAACAAGTTTAAACTTCATAATCAATTTTCAGCTTGAATAAAAGTCAAAATTGCTTTAAGCAGAAATTGATTTGAAAAATGTGCATTATTTTTATACAGAAAACTAACTTGCGTTGAACAAATATGTATACATAAAAAAAAAAAACAAACTAATTTTTTAGTATTGATTTACCTGAACCACCAATTGTGCTCAGTTCATAAATTCTTAATGCCTTAATCATTCTAATAAATATGTGGTAATATTCCTTTAAAACAACCGCTTCAGCGCAAGCGTTAACTTCCTCCTCCAAATTAATTTCTCTATATATATAACATTAAATATTAATAAACATCACAGTTGATTGATTTAAACTTTTCAGAATTTCTCGATGCTAGTAACTGCTCTGCTAGTAACTGCTCTTCAAGTGCGCACAAAAAATAAATAATGAACGAGAAAATAAGGACATCATTGGCAAGCGGAACACTTAATACCCTTGAAGACATTTGTCTACAACTAGTTTTCGAAGAAAGACGGAGCTGTGCAAAGCTTTAAGAAGATACTTAGCCTTAAAACTGAGATACTAGTTTGAATAGAAACAGACAGACAAACAGACGGACATGGCTATATCAAGTCGGCTGTTGTTGCTTAACTAGAGTATATATACTTGTCATTTGATGATAATATGTTGCCTATGACAAAATTGTAATACCCCCTGTAAGGTATTAAAAAACGTGCTTTCATACGCCTTGAAATCAGTACAAAAACAAAATTAAATTAAGTGGCTGCACTTTGAGTATGCGTTATTTTTTTGCGTTAGAAATTGTCGGCAAATTGCTGAGCAAGTTCAATTTAATTAAATTGCATTGCAATAACAGCAAAATCAACACGAAATCTCCCGTTCACACACGCGCGCTCACACACACACACATTCACACATAACACACACCGCATTGGCATCCTTTGGCCGGCTTCCGCTAGCGGAGACACCCACCCACCCACAGCGCCCACTGGGACAAATTTGCAGCGTGCTTATAACGGCATAATTATGTGCGAAGCCGATAAGCAAACGCGTTAATGCAACAGTCCGAAGAGAGCCGGCCAAGAGCTGAAGAGAGTGCAGCCAATGCAGCCGCGCTCTGTGCAACAGTTGCAGAAAGAGAGCGAGAACGAGAGAGAGAAAGAGAGGGAGAGAGAGAGAAGAATGCAGCGACTACAAACAGCTGAGCCGGCGGCGAGCCAAACTCTGGCAGCGACTGCGGCGAGTTGAAAACTTCGTTACGGCAAACCCGGCCGGATTAGTCTGGCGCGCGACTCAATGCGATGCGGATACGGCTGCAGTTACCGTTAAACGGAAAGTGCTCAAAGTGATGCCCAGCCAATAACAATTAACCATTAACTGCCTATCAAGGCAAGTGCTGCCAAAGTGATTGATTTGCGAGCAAAGCTGACCATCAGTAGGTTGCGCCTCGCACGCGAGCTCTGTGGAAGAGGCATTGACAAACGGGGCAACTCCTTTGCCTCCGTCCAGTTGCTGCTGTTGTGTGTCCTTTGTGTCTGCGGCATAGTCGCAGTCGACGTCGCTGTCGCTGTCGGGCGAGTCAATAACCCGACGTCGTCTCTTTGTCTCTGTGTGGATGGCATCAAAACAAACAACGACATTGGGAAATTTGGAAAATTTTTTGGTCAGGTGTGCTATTAGAGACAAAGTGGATGCCAGCATGCCGCAACAGGCCCAAACACAAAAAGCTCAACTCAAACATATTCATGGAAATGGCAGGTTGCCAAATGTGATAACAACCGACAGCAGCAGGTAACCAACCAATATACAATCAGTTTAGCTAAATATCTAACGCGATTATGGCCAGCGTAAGATATAAGAACTCTCTAACGCAAGTGTATTTGCTTGCTGTCATCTTTATAGCTATTAAAGATCGATTTAAATTTCGATTATCGTGAAAGCAAGTTAACATCTTAATCGAATAAATATTAAAAATTTTACTTAGCTTTACTCAAAGTTCAAGGCCTTCGATCGAGTTCCAAAAAGGGAGCATCCTGAAACTTGAGTGTCATATTATGTTCGAGAATCAAATCCTGGGCTCGACAACTGGTGCTGAATCCATAATTTCTCAATAGTTTGATAAGCGCGTTTTTAAGGGACATTAAACCATATTTCCAACCTAAAATAGAGAAAACAGATATTACTATCATCAGATAATGTGTAATCTTAATATTTATCAATTTGTTTAGATTATATTGCATACCTATGCAGTTGCGCTTGCCCTTTGAGAAATGTATATAGGCGTTGTCCTGCAAATTTTGACCCCTACAATTTTCCACCATGTCCAAGTACTTCAGTTTCGATAGAGCTTCATAGAAAACTTCAAAGTTACCACCAGCGGGAAATCAGCAGCAGCAGAACCAGCTGCTATATTGTTGTTCTTGTCAGATATCCATCTGTATTCAGCTTTCCGGCAACTAGCTAAAAAGGAAATATGTTCATTAAAATAATCAAAAATATTTAATAATGTTTTCTTCTTTTACAATATTCACAAAGCCATAGAAATAGCTCATTTACCTGTTATAGAGCCATTGTGATATGGTCAGCCCAGCTTCAGCTGCAAAAAGGCTATTATAAAATGGAGTTGGAATTGTGTGTTGTTGTTTTATCGCTTGTCATTATGGAATTACTCGAATAACATTCGCCCTGCTTAATATCACTGCCCATTGTAGTTTCTGTAGACAATTAAATGTATACAATTAGTTTATTTCGATTTCGAAAAGTTCAAACTTCCTACTTACTTGTTGCAATTTTCAATGTAAAGTTTTTCAATATTGAGTATACGCCCTGTGCTTCCTTGCCTACAAACACAACCAATTCCTGAAGTAAAAGGGCCATCTCATTGTTGACGACGGGCAAAAAACTGAGTAAAACATTGTTTCCAAAGACCAGATTGATCTAGAATAAATTCAATTGTAATTGTTTAGATTTCACTGTAATTATAAATTATATTAGAGTATAATTTCTTACCTTTGATAACAACTACTTCTTTTCCAACAATCTGTTCCATTACGCTGTATGCGATATCCGCCTTATGCATATATCCTGAATTGTCTGTAGATCACTGACATCAAGCATGGGTATTGGACCAAACCTGCTCAGCCACAAAGGTCCCCGCTTTTCTATTCGAACAGTGAACTCATTCAAGAGAGTTGCAATATATTATCGAGACCTTAGACCATCTTCACACTTTTAAAGCATCATATTTTGTTTACCATGCAATATACCAACTAGGGGATAGCCCATTAGGCAACATTACTTTTAACCGTTTTTGTGAAAATAAAAAAAAACAGTTTGTAAGGCATTTTTAATTTTTGTTTGAGCTTTTATAGAGACCCGCACTGCATTTCAATTAGCTTAACGATAAAATATTAATAGGCAAATTCGTTCCTTTTGTTTTACTTGTGACTTATGACTTTTCTGGGATTACAAAAAGACCGTTCGTTTAAGTGAGTTGCAAGTATTGCAATAGCTGCAAACAGTGTTGTAAAACATCGAAAGAGCATCTCTCCAGATGCAGAGGTTAAAAGATTAGGTATATTCGAGTCGGAGCTAGAGTCAACAAACTTGATAGATCGAAAGATAGAACAAAGTATGTTGTGGGATTACTTAATTTTAAACAGATGCAAGCAATTTATGCAGTATATATGTCCAGTTAAAGCCAAAAATAAAAGATTAATAAATAAATTTAAATTCAATAGAAACATCATGTTCCAACAGTAGCTAGGCGGTCCTGCTATTTTTGGCTTTTCCAGTTGTATTTTATTTTATTTTTTTTAACTAAGCTATAATTAACAAAGACACACTCTTCCGAAAGGGCGACCCCCCAGTCTAGCCCACAATATATATTTACAAAAACAAAACAGAAAAAATAAAAAAAAATAAAAAAAAGCACGCACTGGGGGCAAATCCAAGAAATGCAAACACAATAGCTTTTCCATAGTACGCAAATTGTGGGGGCATTACTTACAGATAGATATAGATGTGTTGTGTTATGCCCCCAATTAAGTGACAATGGAAACTTCCGCGACACGCACAGCTCAACTAGAACCGAGCCGAGCTGCATACATATAGAAGTATATATAAATCCCGTAAACATTGTGGACGCTATAATAAGTACGTCTACTTTAAATAGAGCCCAACAATTTATGGACAGGCACGAAAATGTTGTCATTAAAATGCGATTAGACCATAAATTCAATTCGATAGCGTTTAATTGAAACCGCAAACAAATGCAAGTATATCAAAATTGAAAGGCTTTAGTTGTATTTGACAACGTCAAGTGTTTTGTGTCGGATTTCGGCTCGGGAAAATGTCCAAGAAAATGTTGGTAGACAATAGAAAAACTGTCGCATTTCTGGCGTACGACTGTAGCTTACTTTCCGTTTTGTTTGCACAGATTCTCAAGTGTGTGCGTGTGTGTCTGTGTGTGTGTGAGTGTGCGTGTGTTGGCGTCTGCACTGGGTCAATAACATGGCAAGTGCAGATGGTCTATTGTCTGGCTGCCTGGGCGCACGCTATTGTTGTTCTTATCACAAGGTGCGCACAGTTCGTGGCAGGAAGCATTCGATAAGCAAACAGACAGTTCTTGCAACTGCGCTCTCTCACCCTCTCTCTCTCTCTCTTTCAATTTCTCTTGTCTCTCTCTCTCTCTCTCTATATATATATCTGCCCTGTGCAGCTGCCACCTGCCTAGCCCAGTTGTCATTTCTGTTTTGCTTGCCGCGTTCTCCTGTGCGGGGACATTGATCCCATTTAGCTGGGCTGGGCCACGCCAACTTGCCTCCCAGCGCTTATGTATGTCATATCCGTAATGTAAATTGTAAAATGCATATTGCCTTAAGCTCTTTTTACTGCACTTCAACGGCATCAAAAGTGGCAAATATTTATTAAACATAAACATATTCATTTTTTCAATCAGCACAACTTAATTGTCGCTCTGTTAATTGCAAATAGACTGAGAAAAAAAAAACTAAGTAATAACTCGTTAGGTGCAAATCGTTTTCTCAGCTAATCTGCGAAATTTGTTGTTTGCCTGCGATAATCATGAGAAATTTAACCATGAGACAAGAAACTATTCCAATTCATTTGGCGCTCTTATTGTTTTATTGTTTTTTTGTGTTTTTTGTTTTTTGTGGTGAATACTTGTCATATGCAGGGCTTTGGTTGTCCTTGCAGCTGACGCTTGAAATTCAACGCGTTAAATGGCGTCCCACAAAGACAATAAAAATGGCAGCAGACGCCAACAATGACATCAGCCAAACTAAAGGATATACACACAATATTTTGGCATGACATTATATGGTGGCTTTAATGGTGTTAAGGGTGGGGTCGCCCATTTGTATAACTGGTAGCATTAGCAATAAAAAAGCCAAATTGCCAGCTGACGACCCTGAGCTGTATGCGATTTATAACGTCAGAGGGCCTTGACAACATCTCGCGAGTTGGACTTATTCATAAGTTGAATACATTAATTAAGCTAAGACATCAGATGTCGCTTTCCATGCAATTCTTACAAAATATAGAAAAGAAATATAAAACTCTGTTAATTTGAAGAACTTTGAATTTTGACTTGAATTTCAGGTTGAGATTATAATTTCAGCATATTTTTATCTAAGCAAACTTACATAAATATAATATCCGGAACTTAAGAATTTCAAAACAATTTATGAGCGTTTCTTCAAATACATATAATTATTAAATTACAAATTTAATAATTTCATTAAAAAATTCCCTTTAAAAATACTTTTGATGCCCAACGAAAATTTGCTTTGTGCTAATACGTAATTGTTTTTTTCTGACTCTGTCAATTAGGAAGAAAATGTAATTTAATCGTGAAGATTTTTCCAGAAGTTGGTAATTGGATTAAGAGCTTAATATCTATGAATCCTAGGGCTTAAAGATTTTGTGAAAAAAAATACAATTTTAATTGCAAAATTTTACAACCATGCTGTAATTGAAATACATTTTGTATACATAGTTGGCAACGGGTTTTAGCCCAACTAAACAGCTAAGCCATAAGTAGGGGGTTGGGTCAATAAATTGAGCTTAAACTGTGTGTTTATATTGTTGTTGAATATAAAACATCAATTAAATTCGAGCCAATGACTAGGGTTAACCTCTATATGGGCTAAAGCAAGAGTTGACAGCATATATTTAATAAGCGATAATGTGATTTATGTAGAGTATAGACTATCCAAGGCATTAGTCAAATTAAGAATGTAATGCTAATCAGCTCAGCTATGTTATTGTTATTCAAGGCAGCTGCTGTAATTTATAAGTTTATATGCATTTTCGTGTTTCGGATGTGTTGTGTCAAAGTCAAGGTCAGCCAAGCCAGTCAGAACTTCTATAAAAGGTAATCGCTATATATATATTTTCTTCTTTCCAAACTAGTCTGTCTGATATATATATATATATCAAAGCTTTTCCGCTGAACAAATAGCAATATTAGTGTAATATTATCTATCTACATTTACTCTATTATATTGTCATCTCTTTCGCTTTTATTTTCAGCGTATCACATTTTTGTTGATATTTGAGCGTTTCACTAATTGTGGCATTAATTGAGCAATTACATTTTTATCAGAATTGTTGACTATCATAAAATGTGCCAACATTTGTTGACACTTGAGTATAAACAAATTGCAAAGCAAGTGCCATAAACTAACGTATACAAAAAGCCAAAAATTTGTACGTTCATAATCGCACCATATCTACATTGTTAGCATTTAAAAACTCATTAGAGCTCTTGAAAAATCGTTGCCGAATTTATGAAATGCGTCAAAAATCAGAAAATCATATAATAAAAGAGTTGTTAGAAGAAGTAAAAGGAATATATGGGCTTATTATGATAAGCAAGCCAATTGGCTGAGACTGCAGCCTTATCGAGTGACTCTTCAAGTGGCCAGCCCAATGACGCGCCCGTCAGGGTGTCGATTGGTATCTGTGTGCACGTTTATTAAACAATTTAGTTACCAAGTACACGATCTGAAGAGGTTGTCGATAAGCCAAGGCTAAGAAAATTTCGAACTGAAAATAGCAGCAGTTTGGGCGGTTTTGTCAAATAGAAATGATCTTGTTTATGACACATTTCTCCACAATGGCACTTCAAGTGCTTAACGATAAGATCAACATGCTCTGACGTCAATGCGGCTTAGCTTAGCAATATTGGCAATAATATTACAGATGGGCTAAGTTATCTTTGAAGTATTCGTTTATACATAGCTGCAAAATGCCACACGTTTTATAATTCTCGTTGACTATGACGGAATAAACATTAGTTTATCAATATTTTATGTCAGGTGTTAATTGGCGATAATTAGATTGAATTTATTAAATAATAAAAAAATATATTGCTTATGACCTGATATACCAGATCAATGACAAATCTGGCGTTCAGCGGAAATCAACGTTTCGTCCTAACAAAGCAAACAAACAAACAATCCAAAATGTCTGTTGAATATCCCAGCTAAGAGAGTTACGAAGTTCCCCGCATCTCATACTACGTAATTAAAAAAAAAAAAATAAACAAAATTCAATTAGACCGACTTTCTGGCAGTCTGTCAATCAGTCAGTTAGTCAATCAGTCAGCTAGTCAATTTCTCAGTTAGTTTTGAGTCTGTATCAAGATATAAGCTAAGCTATTTGGTAAGTTGGCAAAACTTGA